ATCCACGGGCCTACTGCGACGAGAATAAACCCATTCAATCGGTTTCGAGATTAAATTCTCGATTTAAAATTTGATGGACGGGATAAGCTAAATGGAGGTTGACCAAACAAATTAATTCTCGTTTAATAAATATAATAGTTGAATTGGGCTATAACCCAATGCCCTAAGGCCCCTAACCCATGTTGACATCATCTCATCTCATCTTATCTTATATAAAATGCACACCTCTACTCACCACGGGGTGACACGTGTAGAGAATATAAAAGATTTTTCAAATCATTCTACACATTAATATAACACATTCTGTAGCATGTTTTTTTTTCTTTCTAATTCTTCTTAATACATTAGCTTCATCCATCATTAATTTCACTTCAACAACCAAGAATGATGCATGGTATGACACGTGTCCATTGTTTTTTAAATTAAATTATTGTTATTAAAAAATTATAATTATTCTAGACAACCTTTGATATTCAATAGTAAGATCATAAGTATATAGTCAAAAATATTAATATTTGAGAGAGTTTGTTAAAATGATTTTTTGTGTATTTCTCATTAATATAAATACATAAATTTTACAATCTGAATATACGCGTGATGTGTGTATAGAAATACTATATATCTAATATGTTCTCCTCAAATTTATTTCGATCAGATGGTAAAAATAAATTTGACAAGTGAAGTTTCTCAAGTAAATGTTGAAACACAGCAGGTTGCAAAGCTTTTGTGAATAAGTTTGACAACTGACTTTCTGTCTTAATAACATGCAATGTCTTTATCAGACCTTGCTGCAGTTTCTCCATCAGCTAAATGACAATCAATTTCTATGTGTTTAAATTAATGGATTTTCGGATAGGATTCAAATCGGATTTTAGATCGGTTCGAAAATTCAAAATTTTTCTTTTAAAAAATAAATTTAACGGATTGACACGGTCTGACTCAATCTGAACTCAAATTCGAAGCCTATAAAACCGGATTTTGAATTTGATTATTTAGATCCAAAAAAAAAATCGGATCAGTTCGAATTTAAAAATATCAGATCGAGTGCGGATTCAAATCGAATAAGATCGGACCATCCGATTGATACCTATACAAAATATATGTAGCGTGAGAGCATTAAAAAAAAAGGACCCATTACGTGCGCGGGATCTAAATCGACGGTCAAAATTAAATATCAATCCATACAATCCAACGGTTTACCTTTAACCGGATCGTAACAAGGTTAACCTAACCAAACCCGTTAACCCGGCCCCTTTTTCTTTTTAGTTCCATTTCAACGGCGATGCCTCTCCATTTTTCTAGGGTTTCCGGTTTCCACAGGACTAAAACCCCTCATCTTCTGGAACTTTCCCCGCTAAGGAATTCATCTCCGGACTCGGATTCTTCTGTTCTTTCCATTCGTCCGATTGTGTTTTCTCCAGTTTGAGCTCAATCTTCTTGTAAGTATCTGAGTTTCTCCTTCTGCACTCCGATTCTGGGCTTAGATTTCTTGGAATTTCAATAATTTTGTGTTGTTTTCAGCTAGGTGTTTGATTCATAGTACCTGTGTTCGTGGAATAATCAAGTGGGTGGGTGTTAGTCGGGTTCGGGATCGTTATGGGGAAATCTGCAGGTAGGAAAAAGAAGGGCGGTAGTGGTGGTGGTTCCAACCAGGCGAATTCTTCTGAAAAATCTGTGCCCGCGAAGCCGAGCGTTAATGGCGCTGTTGATTTCGATGCTTCCATATTCTTGAAACGTGCCCACGAGCTGAAAGAAGAAGGGAACAAAAAGTTTCAGAACAAGGATTATGCGGGTGCCCTCGAGCAGTATGATAACGGTCTCAAGCTTATTCCGAAGAACCATCCTGACCGAGCTGTGTTTCACAGCAACCGAGCGGCTTGTCTGATGCAAATGAAGCCTATCAACTACGATGCTGTGATTGCTGAATGTAGTATGGCTCTCAGGGTTCAGCCTGGGTTCAGTCGGGCTCTTCTTAGAAGGGCGAGAGCTTTAGAGGCTGTGGGAAAGTACGAAATGGCAATGCAGGATGTGACCGTGTTATTAGGAGCGGACCCGAATCACAAGGATGCTGCCGAGCTTTCACGAAGGTTGAGAACTGCTTTGGGCCCTCAGCAGGATTTGCAGAGCCGACCTTCTCCTGCGGCTCTTGGTGCCTCGGCTGCACTCGGTGGACCGATTGCCGGGCTTGGCCCTTGTTTACCTGCTCGTCCAGTTCACAAAAAAGGCGCTTCTTCATCTGGTGGAACTGTTACATTGCCTAATAACACTACTAGCAATAACAACAGTAGGCTAGAGCGGTCAGAGATAAATGCCGCAGCAGAAAATGGTTCTGAAAGCAAAACCCAGATGCCAAAAATTGTGTTGAAGCCTTCGGATGCTTCGTCAAAAGGTACAAAGGCGGATCAGCCTTCATCTGCAACAGTTCCTACGCAAGCTTGTAGACAGGTACAAGAGAGGAGAATTCGGTGGAGGCCATTGAAATTTGTTTACGATCATGACATAAGACTGGGGCAGATGCCTGTGCATTGCGGGTTTAAAGTGTTGAGAGAAGTTGTGAGGAACCGTTACCCATCGTCAAAGGCAGTGTTGATAAAGTATAAGGACTGTGATGGAGATTTGGTCACCATTACCTCCACTGCTGAACTGAGATTGGCAGAATCTGCCGCTGACAGTGTTCTTACGAAAGAGCCCGAAGCAGATAAATCTGACTCTGTTGGGATGCTGAAACTGCATGTTGTCGAGGTGAATCCTGAGCAGGAACCACCTTTGCTAGAGGAAGAGGAAGTTGAGGAAGAAAAGCCTATTGAAGAAGAAACTGGTTCTGGTTCATCTCCAAGTGAATCAGTTGCTGAAACAGAGAATATCACGGAGGTTAACAATGAGAAATCAGACAAGGAAGTCATCCACAAGGAGAAAGCAAGTTCTTCTGAAGATCCCGAGACCAAGGAATTGGAGATGGACGATTGGTTGTTTGACTTTGCTCAGCTTTTCCGTACCCATGTGGGCATTGACCCTGATGCTCATATCGACTTGCATGAGCTGGGGATGGAGCTTTGCTCAGAGGCACTTGAGGAAACAGTCACTAGTGAAGAAGCTCAGCCCCTATTCGATAAAGCTGCTGCAAAATTCCAAGAGGTGGCTGCTCTGGCTTTTTTCAACTGGGGTAACGTACACATGTGTGCTGCAAGAAAGCGGATACCTTTGGATGAGTCTGCAGGGAAGGAAGTGGTAGCAGCTCAGCTTCAAGCTGCGTATGAGTGGGTGAAGGAGAGATATTCTTTGGCGAGGGAAAAGTATGAACATGCCCTCTTGATCAAGCCTGATTTTTACGAGGGTTTGCTTGCTTTAGGGCAGCAGCAGTTCGAGATGGCAAAGCTCCACTGGTCTTATGCATTGGCCGGGAAGATAGATCTCTCAGGTTGGGATCCAGCAGAGACACTAAAGCTCTTCAACAACGCAGAGGAGAAGATGAAAGCTGCGACAGAGATGTGGGAGAAGCTGGAAGAGCAGAGGATCAATGATCTTAAAAATCCGAATTCAAGCAAGAAAGAGGAAGTCTCAAAGAGGAGAAAGAAGCAAGGAGATGGGCAGGAAGGCGAGGCTTCTTCAGAGGCGGTAACGGCAGAGGAAGCAGTGGAGCAAGCAGCTGCAATGAGATCACAGATTCACCTTTTCTGGGGCAATATGCTTTTCGAGAGATCACAAGTGGAATGCAAAATCGGCATAAAGGGTTGGAAGAAGAACTTTGACGGTGCAGTTGAGAGGTTCAAACTCGCTGGTGCTTCTGAAGCTGACATATCGATGGTTGTGAAGAACCACTGCTCCAATGAAACAGCTGCAGAAGGAAATGCCAAGAAGGTACCTGAATCTTGAAACCCCAAACAAGAAAGTTTTTTGTTTTGCTTTCCCCATTCATATGATGATGAAATCCCCCCTCTGGAAAGCCTTGAGAAGTTTCCTAGTTGTTTATGGTTTGTTTAGAGAGACAACAATGCATATGGAAACTTGGATTGCCTCCTTGAATTGTTTGGGAAAGGTTGAGAGGATTTGGCTTGTTTTCTGCATTAAGAGTGTTTGATCCAATACAGAGTTTGTTTGACTGTGTTTACCACTTGAGAAATCATCAGGAGATAATGGGGTTTTTTTTTTTGATAAATCTGTTCAAGAAGATGAACCCCTCAATTCCTCTGTAAGTCTTGTATGGTTTATCCTCTTGAAACTGAGTTTGATTCTGCATCTTGTCTAAATTAGGCTCTTGTAGATTTATATGCTTTTGTATAAATTGAGATCAATATTAGGAATGTTAAAATGGAGCCCATATTTTTTCGAACCTAGCCCAGAAAATTTTAGTGAAATACGGCCAAACAAACCGGTACAAATTGGTTTCATGGCGAGTCAACTCGGTGAATACACGAGTTGGTCTGCGGATTAGAATTTTTTTTTTTAATTTTTAATATTTTTATATTTAAATTGTGTTTTTAATAGATATTTGGTTTGTTTTGTTTACATTTTTAAAATTTTAATATTTTTATAATATTTATAATATTTTTTAAATATTTTTTAGTATTCAAATTTTATTTTATTTTTAAATAATTCGCGAACGAATCGAGCCAAAAAAATTATTTTTGGTTTGTTCAGCTGATCAACACAAACTCAGCCATGGATTTGAGGTTGAGGTTTTGTGTTCTTTTAGTGTTGAAGTTTATCTATCAGTTCACATCAAAGCATAATTAATTGATCAAAATCAGTCTCCCAACATAAAAAAAAAAAGAAAAAATAGCAAATAAATACTTAAATTTTTATAAAAATCCCATATAAATATTTGAACTATAAAAATTCTATTTAAATACTTAAACTTTTAAAAATTCTATATAAATGTCTAGATTTTTTAATTTTTTTTCAAATAAATACAAATTTTAGGTATTTTTTAAATAAAAATAGGTGATGTTATTAACGGATTTTGGATTTATTTGAGAGTTTTTCAGAAATATAGGTATTTATGTAGGATTTTAGAAAAGTTCAGGTATTTATATGGAAAGGTATTTATATGGAAATTTTATACTTCAGATATTTATGTGAGATTTTTGTAAAAAATTAGGTATTTATATGCGATTTTTCTAAAAAAAATAAGGATATTATTATTGTTATTATGCATATTTTAAATTTAATTTATACTATTCATATTTCGAATAAAATCGTTTTCTCAACTATTTATTGTTCTCAACATTCATCATTTCGTATAATCTAATAAATGATTTTGTGGGGTAAAGAATGAACATAATTTAATTAACTAATATTTTATTGTTCAAGTAAAACAAAACAATTTTAGTTGCAAGAAAAAAAAAGGAAAATCAATTTTGTCCGACTTTATATGATTTAGATTTTAGTTTTGATATATTTTGTACATTTTTGTATCTAAAAGTGACTACTAAAATCTCGAAAAAATTGTAAAATTTACTTAAAAAACTTTACTTGTAAGACTATTTTACTTCACGTTGGTTTCCACAAATAAGGAAAAAACGAGGGGAATTTTGAAATGTCTATCAAATTTTACCACAGAGAATATTTCAGAAATTTACCATTTTTATGAACACCAACATATTTACCTTTTTTTCATCAAATGAAGAAACCGCCATTACATGACGTGTTGATTACGTTTTCTTAGAAAAACTGTATTTATTCAATATTGAATTTAGTTTATTTAGTATTCAATTAAGATTTGTGTTTTATTAAACAGATTAATTTTTATAAAAATAATCAAAAATTTTAAATAATCAATGAAAAATTAAATAAACATTTTAATATATTTTATATATTATTGGTACGATTTAATAAAAGTCCGAATCAAAATAAAAGCAAAATTTACAATTTCACAAATTCCAAAAACAAAAGGCAACCAAACTTTGGCAAACTTAACTATAAAACACGGTACTTGGAGAGAGAGAGAGAGGGAGAGAGAGAGAGAGAGAGAGAGAGAGAGAGAGAGAGAGAGACCGCGTAAAAACAGGGAACCGTCACGTGAGTGGAATCGAAATCAACGGTCAGGATTAAATCTCTCCATACGATCCAGCGGCTAACCATTAACCGGGTTAACCTAGCGAACCCCGTTAACCGAACCCATTCTCCAGTAGATAATAAAAAGCCCTAATTTTTGACCTAAAACTGTTGCCATTAATAACACCACAAGCTCCACAAGCTCCAAGAACTGCAAAAATTTCTCCCAATCGAATCAACCAAGCTCATCGAATCCAGTAATGGTGGATGTGAAGATGCAGTCCGACACATCTGATTCGAATCAATCGGAGGACAATCTTAAGATCGAATCTCCGGCGGCGGAGGTGAATCAACGGAGGGGGGGCGCG